ATTACAGTTGCCCGCCACCATGCCTGGCTAATTTTTGTATTTTTAGTAGAGATGACGTTTCAACGTCTTGGCCAGGCTGGTCTTGAACTTCTGACCTTGTGATCCACCCGTCTCAGCCTCCCAAAGTGCTGGGATTACAGGCATGAGCCACTGCACCCGGCCCTTTAATTTTAATTTTTTTAAAGCTAGAATCTTTTAGAGATGGAGTCTTGCTCTGTCTCCAGACTGGAGTGTGGTGTTGAGACCTCAGCTCACTGCAACCTCTGACTCCTTGGTTCAAGTGATTCTGCTGCCTCAGCCTCCCAAGTAGCTGGGATTACAGGCACGCACCACCATGCTCAGCTAATTTTGTATTTTTGGTAGAGACCGGGGTTTACCATGTTGGCCAGGATGGTCTCTATCTCCTGACCTCATGATCCTCCCACCTTGGCCTCCCAAAGTGCTGGGATTACAGGCATGAGCCACCTCGAGGGTGAAGAATCTTAACTTGGGTTATACATTCACCCCTGGCATAGATACTGTTTTAATGCCCAAACATGTCACACCTGCCATGTTCCTACTCTGTTACTAAATCACTGGAAGAGGGTTTTGTTAAAATGTGTGTGCTGAATGAAGAGACCCCCCAACAAGCTTTGTGTGAGCAACATGGCTGTTTATTCACCCAGGTGTGGGTGGGCTGAGGCCAAAAAAGGCGCCAGCAAAGGGTGCTAGCATAGGAGTCGGTTTTATAGGTTTGGGACGGGCAGTGGAAAGTTACAGTTTACGGCAGTTTTTTGAAAGCTGGGAGGGGGTCCTAGGGTGTGGAGTAGTGAGGTTCATGAAGGTTGGTTACAAAGTCCAATGACCTGGCCGGGAGCGGTCGCTCAAGCCTGTAATCCCAGCACTTGGGGAGGCCAAGGCGGGTGTATCACGAGGTCAAGAGATCGAGACCATCCTGGTCAACATGGTGAAACCCCGTCTCTACTAAAAATACAAAAAATTAGCTGGGCATGGTGGTGTGTGCCTGTAATCCCAGCTACTCAGGAGGCTGAGGCAGGAGAATTGCCTGAACCCAGGAGGCGGAAGTTGCAGTGAGCCGAGATCATGCCATTGCACTCCAGCCTGGGTAACAAGAGTGAAACTCCGTCTCAAAAAAAAAAAAAAAAAAAAAAAAAAAAAATTCCCCAAAGCTATATGATGGGATACCATGTAGCCAGTGAAAGATTATGAGGCTGGGTAACACTCAGCAGTTTAAAAAGATCTCCCAGATACTTTACTTTTTTAAAAAGTTGTGGAGACATTGTAGGTGTATATATCAATGAGGTGTATAGGATGTTTTGTTACAGTCATGCAATGAGAAATAAGCACATCATGGAGAATGGGTCCAGATACTTTAAATTAAAAATAAAAAAGAGGTAAAGCAGTGTGTATAATAGGCTTTTTTTTCATGTTACAAAAATGTATTTATACAGGCCAGACTTGGTGGCTCACACCTGTAATCCCAGCACTTTGGGAGGCTGAGGTGGTGGGTCACCTGAGGTCAGGGGTTCGAGACCAGCCTGGCAAACATAGTGAAACCCCGTCTCTACTAAAAATACAAAAAATCAGCTGGGTGTGGTGGTGCCCACCTGTAATCTCAGCTGCTTGGGAGGTTGAGTCAGGAGAATCGCTTGAACACAGGAGGTGGAGGTTGCAGTGAGCCAAGATCACACCATTGCCAGCCTGAGTGACAGAGGGAGATTCTGTCTCAGAAAACAAACAAACAAAAAAGTATATATACACATATATATGTGTGTTTATTTGTGAATGCATCTCTTGATACTTAAAAAAATTGGCAATGGTGGCTCCTCTGGAAGAGGAAGTGGGGGCTGAGGGACTGACATCACATTTCCTTTGTAGAAGTTAAAAATAAATGAAGAGGGCTGGAGGAGTGGGGGGAAAAAAAGGAAAAGAAAAAAAAAAATAAATGAAGAGGCTGGGCACAGTGGCTTGTGCCTGTAATCAAAGTATAAGCAGGACTTTGGGAGGCCAAGGCAGAAGGATCACTTGAGGCCAAGGGTTCAAGACCATCTTAGGTAACATAGTGAGACCTTGTCTCTACAAAAAAAAGTAGCTGGGCGTGGTGGTATGCACCTGTAACCTCAGCTACTTAGGAGCCTGAGAGGCAGTGGAATAGTTTGATCATAGGAGTTTGAGGCTGCGGTGAGCTATGATTTCACCACTGTACCCCAGGCTGGGTGACAGAGTGAGACCTTGTCTCTAATAAAATGAAAAACAAAAGTAAAATGAAGAAGAAAGAAAGGAAAGAGAAACAGAGGAGGAAGGGAAAGAAAATGTTGGCTGGGTGCTGTGGCTCACGCCTGTAATCCCAATGTTTTGGGAGGCCAACGCGGGCAGATCACTTAAGGTCAGGAGTTCAATACAAGCCTGGCCAACATGGTGAAACACTGTCTCTACTGAAAATACAAAAATTAGGATAGGCGCGGTGGCTCATGCCTGTAATCCCAGGACTTTGGGAGGCCAAGGCAGGCAGGTCACGAAGTCAGGAGATTGAGACCATCCTGGCCAACCTGGTGAAACCCCATTTCTACTAAAATACAAAAAATTAGCCAAGGGTGGTGATCCCCCTGTGCCTGTAGTCCCAGTTACTTGGGAGGCTGAGACAAGGGAATTGCTTGAACCTGAGTCGTGGAGGTTGCAGTGAGACATGATCACGCCACTGCATTTCAGTCTGGGTGACAGAGTAAGACTCCGTCTCAAAACAAACAAACAAAAATTAGCTGGATGTAGTGGTACATGCCTTTAATCCCAGCTACTCAGGAGGCTGAGGCATGAGAATCACCTAAACCTGGGAGAGGGAGGTCACACTGCACTCCAGTCTGGATGACAGAGCCAGACTCTGTCTCAGAAAAAAAGAAAATGGGTTGGGCACAGTGGCTCACGCCTGTAGTTCCAGAACTTTGGGAGGCCAAGGTGGGTGGAGTTTGAGAGCAGCCTGGCCAACATGGTGAAACCCTGTCTCTACTTAAACTACAAAAATTAGCTGGGCATGGTGGCATGTGCCTGTAATCCCAGCTACTCAGGAGGCTGAGGCAGGAGCATTGCTTGAACCCAGGAGGCAGAGGTTGCAGTGAGCTGAGATCACGCCATTGCACTCCAGTGCTGGGCAACAGAGCAAGACTTCGTCTCTGGGGGAAGAAGAAAAGGAAAAAAAGGCTGCTCACAGTGGCTCACACCTGTAATCCCAGCACTTTGGGAGGCTGAGGCGGGTGTATCACCTGAGGTCAAGAGTTTGAGGCCAGCCTGGCCAACATGGTGAAACTGTGTCTCTACTAAAAATACAAAAATTAGCTGGGTGTGGTGGCAGATGCCTGTAATCCCATCTACTCGGGAGTCTGAGGCAGGAGAATCACTTGAGCCCGGGAGGCAGAGGTTTCCATGGTGAGCTGAGACCGCGTTGCTGCACTTCAGCCTGAGTGACAGAGCGAGACTCTGTCTCAAAAAAAATAATAATAATAAAATAAAAATAAATAAATAAATAAAAACTGTAATGGGATTTCACCAAGTATCAGGGTGGATTTCACATAGTATGTATTATTTCTTAAAATTTTTATCTGAATTGTGTATAGAAATACAAATGTGAATACTGAATCACAATGTGAAATATATTTGTTGCTGCCTGTGATTCAGTCAAAGGCTTGAAGACAAGGAGCTAGGAGGGTGATTTTTGGCCCCCACATTCTTTTTTATGACCTCAAGCCTCTGGGCCATGTTTGGTATGTAGAACTGAGATCCCAATTCCCCTCAAGGGTAAAGTCAAGAGAGAAGTACTGCCAGCGGAAAGGCCACGGCTTCGGAGGTGGCCTCTTTGAGGAACTGGCTTAACCCTTGCCTTTCTCTGGAGACAGATAAATGTGAAGACTTGCCATTCTTCAGCAAATATCTTCCCACCTGGCTTAGGGGCTTTTATTACATTTTCTTTGCTTTTGTTTTTTTGAGATGGAGTTTCACTCTTGTTGCCCAGGCCGGAGTACAGTGGTGCAGTCTTGGCTCACTGTAACCTCTGCCTCCTGTGTTCAAGCAAGTCTCCTGACTCAGCCTTTTGAGTAGCTGGGATTATAGTCATGTGCCACCATGGTCCGACTAATTTTGTATTTTCAGTAGAGACAGGATTTCTCCATGTTGGTCAGGCTGGTCTTGAACCCCTGACCTCAGGTAATCAGCCCGCCTTGGCCTTCCAAAGTGCTGGGATTACAGGTGTGAGCTACCACGCCTGGCATATAATAAATAAATAAATAAATAAATATTTTGGTAACACAGAAAAAAGGCCTATTATACACACTGCTTTACCTCTTTTTTATTTTTAACTTAAAGTATCTGGACCCATTCTCCATGATGTGCTTATTTCTCTTTGCATGACTGTAACAAAACATCCTATATACCTCATTGATATATACACCTACAGCATATCCACAACTTTTTAAAAAAGTAAAGTATCTGGGAGATCTTTTTAAACTGCTGAATGTTATGCAGCCTCATAATCTTTCACTGGCTACATGATATCCCATCATATAGCTTTGGGGAAGTTTTAAAGGTTGGCTGACTCCAGCTCTGGAAGAAAACACTTTTCTTTTTTTTGAGACAGAGTTTGGCTTTTGTTGCCCAGGCTGGAATGCAATAGCATGATCTGAAACACTTTGTTTTTTACAAATTCATTTTACAAAATGAATTTGGGGGCCAGGCATGGTGGCTCATGCCTGTAATCTCAGCACTTTTTGAGGCCAAGATGGGTAGATCCCCTGAGGTCAGGAGTTCAAGACCAGCCTAGCCAACATGGTGAAAACCTGTCGCTACTAAAAATACAAAAAAATTATCTGGGCATGGTGGCAGGCGCCTGTAATCCCAGCTATTCGGGTGGCTGAGGCAGGAGAATCACTTGAACCCAGGAGGTGGAGGTTGTAGTGAGCCGAGATTGCGCCATTGTGCTCCAGCCTGGGCAACAAGAATGAAACTCCGTCTCAAAAAACCTGGAATGCTTCACAGAATTTGCATGTCATTCTCGTGCAGGGACCGTGCTAATCTTCTCTGTATTGTCTCAATTTTAGTGTATGTGCTGCCAACACGAGCGCAGCCCTTATTTTTATTTTAGCTCTCTTACAATGGGTACTTTTAAAGCATTTGATAGCAGATGATTTTTTTCTCCAAAGCAAATATGTTTCATATGTAAGTCTAGAAAGAAAAAAACAAAACAAAACAAAAATGAGCTGTGCTTCAAATTCTTCCAGCTGTGGAGTCATTTGCAGGTTGTGGGGCAGGACAAGTCTGTTTAAGCCTGGCCAGGTGCCAGTTCCAACAGGCTCATGTGCCATCTCTGGCACGAAAATCACAGGTCGCCAAACCCTGATTTAGGTGTAAAGGAAGAGGCATGAACCAGGCGACTCTGCGCTGTAAAGCTCAGTCTGCTCTTTACCACCCCAAATTTGCCTTACATATGATTCTTCTCAGGGTGTTTTTTTCCCTCTTTTAGGTAAAACAACAAGTCAAGTACTTGTTTGACCCTAAATTGCATTTTTCGATTTCTCTCTCTTGCTCTCTATTTCCCTCTCTGTCGTGTGTCCTTCCCAGGGAGAAAAGTGGTTCAGAGTACGGCCTGGGGGTGGAGTTTGGGGCTGTGCCAGCTCGTTTCCTGATTAGGTATTTGGAAACAGAGTTTAGGTATGTGCAGGGTTTAGGCTTCTACCCAAGCAATCTACTTTCACTTGCAGGGAAATTTCACACTGTAATTACTATAATGAAGCAAAATGTGGGGTGGAGGGGGTGGGGGAGAGCATTGCTACTAACCCTTGGATATTAACCCCTGCAAAGCAAGGTTGGAACTGCCATGCATTATCATGATTAACATTTATGAGTGCTCTGTGCTTGATGCTGTTTTTAGAGCTTCCACTATATTGTTCTCTTTTATCCTGATAATACCCTATGACATAAGCATTATTATTATGATTATCATTATCAGTGTTCTCACATTAGGAAATGGAGGCACAGAAAGTTCAAGTAACCAGCCACTATCACACAGCTCTGCAAGCAGCAGAACCAGCTTAGCAGGTTAGGCAATGAGTATCAAAGCCCACACTTGCTTTTTCCTTTTTTCCTTTTTTTTTTAGACTCCAGGGTGGAGTGTAATTACCTTGACCTTCCGGGCTCTAGTGAGCCTCCTGCCTCAGCCTCCCAGTAGCTGGGACTACAGGTGAACACCACCATACTTGGCTAATGTATGTATGTATGTATGTATGTATGTATGTATGTATGTGTGTATGTATGTAGGTATGTATGTATTTTTGAGGCCAGGTCTCGCTCTGTCACCCAGGCTGGAGTGCAGTGGTGTGATCTTGGCCTTCTGCAGCCTTAACCTCCGTGGCTCAGGTGATCCTCCCACCTCAGCTTCTTGAGTAGCTGGGAGACTACAGGCGAATGCCACTATGCCCAGCCATTTTTTTTTTTTTTTTTTTGGTAGAGTCAGGATTTGCAATGTTGCCCAGGCTGGTCTCAAACTCCTGAGATCAAGTGATCCGCCTGCCTGGGCCTCCCAATGTGTTGGGATTACAGGCACGAATCACTGTGCCTGGCCATAATTTTTCTAATTTTTCAGAGATGAGGGTCTCAATTTGTTGCCTAGGCTGGCCTTGAATTCCTGGAAAGCCCAAACTCTCGTTTTTTTTGAGATGGAGTGGTGCTCTGTCACCCAGGCTGGAGTGCAGTGGCATGATCTCAGCTCACTGCAACCTCTGCCTCTCGGGTTCAAGAGATCCTCCTACCTCAGACTCCCGAGTAGCTGAGATTATAGGCATGCCTGGCTAATTTTTGTGTATATATATATATATATAAATTTTTTTTTTTTTTTTTTTTGAGACGGAGTTTTGCTCTCGTTACCCAGGCTGGAGTGCAATGGCGCGATCTCGGCTCACCGCAACCTCCGCCTCCTGGGTTCAGGCAATTCTCCTGCCTCAGCCTCCTGAGTAGCTGGGATTACAGGCACGCGCCACCATGCCCAGCTAATTTTTTGTATTTTTAGTAGAGACAGGGTTTCACCATGTTGACCAGGATGGTCTCGATCTCTTGACCTTGTGATCCACCCGCCTCGGCCTCCCAAAGTGCTGGGATTACAGGAGTAAGCCAAAGTGCTTGGCCGGAAAACCCACACTCTTAACCACTAGGGTATCTGGCTATATTTTACACAATGAAAGAGGGAAAAATGTGGGAGACAGCGGTAGGGACAGAAACTGAGGTAGGAAAATCACTTGAGCCCAAGAGGTCCAGGCTGCAGTAAGCCGTGATCACATGACTGCACGCCAGCCTGGGCGGCAGAGTGAGACCCTGTCTCAAAGAAAACATCAGCTGGGTGTGGTGGCTCACATCCCAGCACTTTCGGAGGCTGAGGCAGGCGGATTGCTTGAGGTCAGGAGTTCAAGACCAGCCTGGCCAAGATGGTAAAACCCTATCTCTACTAAAAACACAAAATTTGCCTGGCGTGGTGGTGCATGTCTGTAACCCCAGCTACTCAGGAGGCTGAGGTAGGAGAATCACTTGAACTAGGAGGCAGAGGTTGCAGTGAGTCGAGATCGTGCCATTGCACTCCAGCCTGGGTGACAGAGAGAGAGACTCTGTCTCAAAAACAAAAACAACAGAACACCAAAGACCCAAAACCAAAAAAGCTCTGTTTACCCTAAACCTAAATTGACTGATTGATCACATTTTGCCAAGTTGGCTCACCTGTACTCTCTCTCCCTGTGTGTGTGTATTTTTTCTCTGTAAGTCATTTGAGAGTCTGTTGCAAGCAGGCTAGTTAGCTATGTTAAGGGTTTGGTAGTTGGTTCGTTTTATATAAAACATGTGATCCAAGCTAGATCAATTGAACCAATTCCTCTTTGAAATTTGAATATTGGAATAGGGTGATGAGAGGACAAGATAAAATGATTGGTCTTCTCTAGATCTGCTGCTGGTCCCAGATAAGATGTTCAAGTATGGCTGGGCGAAGTGGCTGACGTGTGTAATCCCAGCACTCTGGGAGGCCAAGGTGGGTGGATCAGTCAAGGTCAGAGGTTCAAGACTAGCCTGGCCAACGTGGTGAAACCCTGTCTCTACTAAAAATACAAAAATTAGCCGGGCATAGTGGTGCTTGCTTGCTGTCCCAGCTGCTCGGGAGGCTGAGGCAGGAGAATCGCTTGAATCCAGGAGGTGGTGATTGTGGTGAGCTAAGATTGTGCCACTGCACTCCAGCCTAGGCAGCAGAATGAGACTCTGTCAAAAAAAAAAAAAAAAAAAAAAAAGGCCGGGTGGGGTGGCTTAAGCCTGTAATTCCAGCACTTTGGGAGGCTGAGGTGGGTGGATCACAAGGTCAAGAGATCGAGACCATCCTGGTCAACATGGTGAAATCCCGTCTCTACTAAAAATACAAAAAATTAGCTGGGCATGGTGGCACGTGCCTGTAATCCCAGCTACTCAGGAGGCTGAGGCAGGAGAATTGCCTGAACCCAGGAGACAGAGGTTGCGGTGAGCCGAGATCGCGCCATTGCACTCCAGCCTGGGTAACAAGAGCGAAACTCCGTCTCAAAAAAAAAGAACAACATTTCATGTCAAAAAAAAAAGGAAAGAAAGTAAAAAGGAAAAGATGTTCAAGTATTTTCTCTTACCTTGCTTTTTCTAAAAGTTTTTTCTTTTTTTATTTATTCACTTTTACTTTTCTTCTTTTCTTCCCTTTGTTGCTGACATTTCTGACCTGGCCCTCCAGGCTTCCCATTGATTCTCTGAGTTCCTGGATAGCATTTTGCTACATTTCAGAGTCTATTGCTGTTGCTTGCAACCTAAGAATCCTAACTGCCACAGCTGCCCTTGAGAAAGCACACACTCATCCTGGGAGCATGCAAGGAGAGGCTTCATGCACTCAGAAATATTTGTAGGCAGGATCGCTTCATTTTTGGAGGACTTGTGCTAGTTGACCTTCTAATCCTAGCCTCAGAGAATTTGTGCCTCTGGTCCCCCTAGGCCAAGCCGATTTTATTGGGGGATAATTTCAAAATTTGAAACTGTTCTTTCTACCTATTAAAAGTTCTCAGCCACAGTTCAACAACGGTTCACACGTAGTATTTCAGTTATCCATTGCTGCATAGCAAATCGCTGCAAAGTTTAGTGGCTGAAAGAACAACCTTTTTCTTATCGCCCATGATTCTCTAGGTTGAATAGGTTCAGTAGCATGGTTCTTCTTTAAAAAATTATTTAATTATTTATAGTTTTCATTTAATTTTTCTTTTTTTTTGAGATGGAGTTTCACTCTTGTTGCTGGGGCTGGAGTGCAGTGGCAGGATCTCGGCTCACTGCAAACTCCACCTTCTGGGTTCAAGCGATTCTCCTCCTTCAGCCTCCTGAGTAGCTGGGATTACAGGCCTATGCCACCATGCCTGGCTAGTTTTGTATTTTTAGGAGGGACAGGGTTTCATCATGCTGGTCAGGCTGGTGGTGAACTCCTGATCTCAAGTGATCTACCTGCCTCGGCCTCCCAAAGTGCTGGGATTACAGGCGTGAGCCAGTATGGCCAGCCATTTATTTTTGTTTTTAAAAATTGCGTATTTTCCTTTTTTGTAACATCTTTTCACAATGTTCTGGTCTTCTTGGTCAAGGCTGTAGTCACCTAGGGCCTCTAAGGACTGAAATATATGAGAAGGCTCGCTTGCATGGCTGACAGTTGCTGCAGGCTCTTGCCTGCAGTCTCAGTTGGGGCTGCCAAGTGGAGTGCCTCAATTTTACTTCATATAGCCTCTCCATGTGGCTTGGCCTTCCCGTAATCTGGCAGCTGGGTTTCATGAGGAAGAAAGTGTAAGCTGCCCATCATCTTTATTTTATTTTATTATTATATTTATTTATTTATTTTGAGACGGAGTTTCACTTTTGTTACCCAGGCTGGAGTGCAATGGCGCGATCTCGGCTCACCACAACCTCCGCCTCCTGGGTTCAAGCAATTCTCCTGCCTCAGACTCTTGAGTAGCTGGGACTACAGGTTCGTGCCACCATGCCCAGCTAATTTTTGTATTTTTAGTAGAGACGGGGTTTCACCATGTTGACCAGGATGGTCTCTATC